AAAAATATGCACCTGACAATATGGATCTGTGAGTAAGCTTTGGACACTGATTAACACCTTTGAAATTGTCAATGCTAATGACCAATTGTGATGTATTGAGTCTATACCCACATCACCATGTCTAGAAACATTTGGATGAAGTATTTTTGTAAGGAACCTTACTATTGGTGGGTACAGGGGGTAACTGCAAAAGTGTAGGAGAGTTATGTTATTCAATGCAATAGAATTAAAGGCACATATAGCTTAAACTTTTATTTCATGCTCAATAGGAAAAATATATACATTTACATACCTGCATGGTACTTGTAGATAAAGATAAAATAAACCTCCTTCATATGGACTTCCTACAGGTCCAGTTATTGTAGCTTGCCAATGACAACACATTTGATCTAATGGAGTGGCTTCAATACCTTCAGGAGGATCTATTCTCAAGCTTTTAAGTTCACTATGTAATCTATTTTTTCTCCATGAGTTTTCTTGAATTCTTGGCAACTGCGATCTCAAACACGTTTGTGCTAAACATGTTCTACAAGGTGCTGAAGAAGCCAAAAGATCATACACTTTATACCAATTTTTAACACATCCAATAGGTTTATATAAAGGCCATCTTAATTTAACATTTTGTTGCCATTGTTGTGATGTTACATGCGTTGATAATAAACCACACCATCTGCGACAAACATTTGCAGCTGACCAAAGACTAACATCGTCCAAATATGAAAAAACAACTAACAACACTTCCGGTGGTAATCTTTCCACTGGAACTAACCCTGGTTCCGAAATAGATTCATATCTGACATGTTTATAATTTGTTAACATCTCTAATCGTTCAGATAAGCTATATGATCTTGATGATTCTCCTACATTATCATGTACTTTATAATTCCATTGATAATGCTGATAACTGTCTAGTTCCTTACTTTTTTGGAATGGAACTATGTTATGTAATTCTCCCTTTACCATACATAGAGTACGAGCAGTAGAAACCTCTCGTTCATGATTCTTGTGAGTTTCATTGTGTGCATTACTTATATTTTGTACGCAATCAGAATGTGCATCATGTGGAAACTGCACATTTTGTGGTAAAGCTGCTGTACTTTTAGAATTGTGTATATTTATACCACAGTGTATTTTCTGTATGGCTGAAATATTTTCTTTCTGCAAGGTAAAACATTGTGCTATGTGAGAATTTAGGCTAAGCATATTTGATATGTTTGGTGTACTTGAAGATGCATTTTGTGGAGAATTTTGTTGTTGCTGACTGGCTCTTCTTTCATGATTATAATAAAGCTCTGTTGGCTCATCATTTCCTGAATCTTCATCATCTGTTTTCTACAGAAACAATTAAAAAATATAATTATATCATTATATCACTCATTTCATTATAAATGATATTTGAATCAATGAAATTCTAGTATGTCTATTGCAAGTGCTTATATGTATACAAAAATAAAACATACTTCACTAAAAATTGGAACTTGTAAAAGACCAATGTCATTAGGAAACAGAAATGCATGACATGTTGAACACACAGGTTCTTCAAAACATGGTCCATAATACCCATTACAGAAACAACAAGTTATTATCTAAAAGAAGTAACAAAACATTTATATGCAATGTGATACAAAACACTGTACTAACATTTGCTTTATATGTAACACATTAAACAAATAAGTAATATTGCTGGAATAAAAAATCTTTAACATGTTCATTACATGTCGCATGGCTAGCATAAATGTAAGGCATTCTGTAGCAGGATGAGGAATTTTAAACAGGGTGACACTGAAATAGATGACCAAACTTTGGTTGCTATTCTACTTTTCCTAAGGATGGGAAAAGGTCATATAAACAGATCAGGAAACTCTTCCTTCCTGGGATATAAACACATTATTCAGTTATTAATGCTTTCTTAATTTCTGTAAAGAAATATAAAGTATTCCACTTCAAAAATCAATGTCTCTTTCAAAACTTTAAATGTATATAATGTAGAAAAAAAAATATTATTCTGACATCTCCCCTTTGAAATCATGCAACTTATACTTCATACACTTTTTCGTATAACAAATATTTTACGAGTAATTTCAAGTCGTCAAGTTAAGTGAATCACCCTGTATAAGCGAATTGCATTATTAAACATTTAGTAATTAGAAATACCTTTTTATAACGCTGGAAAATATTAAATACGTATGCCAAATTTAAGTGCAAGGTTTCAATGCTTAACACACTTACCGGAAAATCAAATTCGGGACAAGGTACGTATTCTATTGATTCAGCAAAATCATCTTCTAAATTTAAAGTTTCATTATAAGCACCCCCTTGATGTATCTTTTGTTTGCTCGCATGCGAAGAACTATGCACTACCTTGTCACCAGCCATTTTAGAATCATAACAAATCCAAAGTTATTCTATAAAACTGTACACTGAATCTCATCGATCTTTGCCGGAACCCTAGAACTAACACAAACGCATACCGACGGTGATTCTATGTGAAATGGCATCATACATCATTCGCTTTCGTACACAATTTACACCATTGCACATAGAACCACTACCGGTATGCGCTTGTGTTGGTTCTAGGGTTTCGGCAAAGTTCGATGAGATTTAGTGTATATACATTATTAAATTTTATTGTATGTAATTTTACATGTTTCATATTTTTCACAAATAGCTATTGTTACATCTGGTGGTCTTCTCGAGAAGAACAAAAATTTAACTAGGCGAGGGTCAACCGGCCTGTACCACGGGATGTAAACGAACAAAGATCAGAAATTATTTCATTCACGCGGGTTATACATTCGCGTTTGACGAAGTCTCTCTTTTAGCCTATGTGCGACACTACGAATTTCGTGAGGGTTTCTCTACTTCGTACGGAATATGTGAAGATAGTAAAACTGTTACCTTCCGCAGATAACATACCGGCTGCAACATAGAAAGTAAAATCACACCGTCGTCGATGAGGAAGGAGGCGTTGATGTGAATTAAACGCAACGTGTAGATTTATCCTTAATAATTAACAAGGTTCGGAAATTCTGAGCTGAACGATTAAGACTTTAACACTGAAATAAAGATTAACTAGAGGTTCAATTTAAATAACTTAAGTATATCTTAACAATAAAAACAAAACTAAAGAAATACAATTGAAATATAGGACTAAAACTACGACTTAAAGTAAAGCTCATGACTTAAAGTTGAAACAATTAGACTTAGAATACAAACGGACGCCAGAACGCGTGAATTATCTGATAGTTAGAACCCAAGTGACCGCATGCTGTCCCGGAAAACGTACGTAGATTATCTCATATAATGGAAAAACAATTGAAGGATGATTAGTGAACAAGAGAATAACGTTTCAACTTTCTAAGTGCTTCCGTGGATTTTCGCGCGCATCGGCGCGCGCACGTACTACATTGATCACTTTAACATACAAATTACAATTTAATAGTAGACAAAGGTCCTTATTCTATGTTATATTTAAATGTACAGTAAAATTATGATTATGGTTATATTTAGTTCGCTATGAATATGTACATGAATGAGTGCATTGAAACCTGGGGGGGGAGGTGGGTTCGCATGAAAATTGTAGCCTGTGGGCCTCATAGCTGGTTCACATGACTCGCGGAGCGTGGATGTTACAGTATTTACTATTCAAAAATTAACAAAAATAACTTTAAACACAACTAATTTATTCTAATAAAACTTGTAATTCTGTAAATATAAAAATTTTAAAGTAACCATAGTTATTTGGAGTAACAAGAAAAACATAAGATTGATACATTTTGCATCTACGTAAATTTATAATGTTATTTATGTAAAACACATTATTTTGTCTACTTTTTATTATTTACATTATATGTAACAGAAAAAGGTTTGCATTATTTCATGAACAAACTTTTTTATATTTTTTATTTCTTATTTATGATAAATAAAGCTCTTCTTATCATTATTTACAATTATTATATATACAATTTACACATATGTACATGAATATGTTTAAGGCAAAGTTAAAGAATAAACGAATTTAATTAATATTTGTACAAATTTACATGTTAATTTAAAAATAAAGTTAATTGTGAATATTTAAAAATAAAGAAATGAAATTCATACCATTTATCCTTATGAATGTATACATTTGTTCTGTAACATCTTCCGATAAAAGATATTTTCGCATAATGAAATATTTTGAATACATTTATTATATTAGCAACTTAAAATTTTACTATATTTTATCTAAATATAAGTAATTTTAAAAGGTTATGATTAACGAACAACTTTTATGCTTTGATTTTTGCTATTATGTAGTCAAACTTGATACATTTACATTTATTCCTCATTATTTAATTCGACTTTTAAATAAATTTTATATTTTTGCCGTATTTGTCATGGTTTCATAATGTCAGATATATTTTATAGAGTTTATATTATTCAATAAATTTTTAATTTCACTATATTCTAATTACTACGAAATTCGCGAATCACATATGATTGACAAGTTAAATGTTTATTCGCGATTGGTTGAATGTTTTCATTGGCTGCATACTCGACTTTTGTCATGTGATTGTTCCCTATTTATGTTAATATCAGTGATATTGTCTCGAAATCTTGTGGCAAAACAATAACAAACTGTGTTTTGCGATTGACTTGTACGAATATTTTTAATGCGTAACTAAGGAAAGTGGTATAAAAGTAGACAGCAACTTGTACTTTTTCATTGTAACATCTTTTTTTATACGTGGGAAGAAATTCGAATTTTTCAAAGATCCAGTTCAGAAAATTTTTTGAGCTAATGTTATTGCCTAGGAAAAATATTTGCTGACGAAAAGCATGGTCGTTTTATCTGAGGGTGGTGAATGTACATACCGTGTAAGCGTGTAGATTGAAGATTTTCAATCATTAATCTGTATCACGAAGTATGCAAACAGATGAACCTTCATATTAAATTTCATCATTTTCCTGAACTGTAAATTAAATACTGTAAGCATACACGGATTCTAATTTATTTGTGTCTTGTTTAGCTTTATACGAATTCAATATAATAATTGTGTATACCTTCAACATGTTAATAAATTTTTAATTTTCAATTTAATTAATTTTAAGGTTTATTAATGGGAGAATCTGGATACATTGAACTATTTTCGGAAATTAAAACTAGCTCAATGGATGGAATAATAAAGCAAGAACCAAATCAAGAAATGGGTCCATCCTCTGCGTCAGTACCAATACCAGGAGGACATAGAAGTACTAGAGGTGTATATGATCAATTCTCACCATCTCCATTAATGTCAATATGGCCCAACAAATCAGATCACATAGAATCACCTTTTAAGGTAGATTCTGATCAATTAGATGACTTTTTTAAAACAGAAAGGTGGGAAGATGATGATATACTACAAGTGGACAAAGCAGATCTTATACAAGGACCTACACTTGCTGAATTAAATGCAAATGATGATACACTTCTTGGTGATTTAAATTTTGATGATTTACTTTTACCAGAAGAAAGAGTTCAACCATTTAAAATGGATGTCAGTACAACTCAATCAGTTGGTCCATTATTTAATGATAACAATGCTAGTTTTGCTCCAAGTAGTTTTCCACAATCTGGATTAACGTACCGTAACATTTGCCCTACATATATAAATGCACATGGATTCAATTTGAATATAAATATCAATGTTGCTGATAATTTGGAAACAATTAGTCCCAATGCTTTTCCAAGTCCAGGAACTAGTAATATTGCAGGTTTGTATATAATTTCACTTTATATACTTTTATAAGAAATTACTATTAAACTGATACCAATATAATTATAAATAATTAACCTTTATTTTTTTAAATAATTTTCAATTGTTAATGATTTTATTGATAATGTTACTAGAATATGATGTCATTGAAAACAAGATTTAAACTTTGTTGCTATTTGTAAAATGTGTGTACATGAGAAGAAATAATATATTTTCAAATAATTTTTTAAAGGTAGTTCAACTGCAAGTTCATCAACATCTCCACATCCTATGAATAGGCCTAATGGACAGTCTGCTCTTCATGAATTATTGATGAGACGATGTGAAAATTCTTTTGATAGTTCTATGCGTGGACAGATGGATATTGCATGTACAAACAACAAGTCTAAGGTGTCTAGGTTATCAATGTCTGCACCATCACAGACTATGGGATTAGAACAGATTTGGGCTCGTAGAGAACCACGTCCACATTTATTAAGTACTGGTAGTCTTGGTGTTGTTGAAGCAGGTTCAACAAGTAGTTTAAGTACTGGAAGTGCACTTAGTCCTGATCCACTCTATCATATTGACCATCTTAGTCATGATGAAGGTTATGAAGATAGTGATGATGACAGTGATCATTATGATGATTATAGCAGTGATAACGGTACTTTGATGTTTATTAACAAATACTATAATCTTTCATGTAAAAATTTTATAATTTTATATATTTTCATGTATACATGGTAGTTTCAAATTTATATCATGAATTTTGATATAGTTCAAATTTAGCAATAAAAATAATAAATAAAATGCAATAAGCTATACATTTTTGTAGATACAGGTGGTAGTGATGGAGAAGATCAACACAGTGGAAGTAGAGTAGGAAGTGGAAGTGTGGATTCAAATCGAGAAAGTAAACATAGTAAGAAAGAACGATATTTTTGGCAATATAATGTTCAGGCAAAAGGGCCTAAAGGACAAAGACTTGTTGCAAGGGCACGTCTTGAAGATCCACATATTTTAAATGAAGCCACGGACCCTGTTTTTAGTCCTCATTGTGCACTGCGTGGAATTAAACACAGTGGAAAAGCCCGAAAAGGAGATGGAAATGATCTTACTCCGAACCCACGTAAATTGTATAGTATTGGTCGTGAATTGGATAAATTGTCTCGTATTATTAATGATATGACACCAGTTTCGGAATTACCATTTACGGCAAGACCTAAAACGCGCAAAGAAAAAAATAAACTTGCTTCTCGGGCATGTCGATTGAAGAAAAAAGCTCAGCACGAAGCGAACAAAATAAAACTTCATGGTTTGGAACAAGAACACAGTTAAGTACATGTGGTTGTAGAGGTTGTTCCGTAAATGCACACGCATTCGGCAAATATTTAAATTTAATTTTCCTGAAAACTAAACTTTTTATGAAAAATTTTATTCCGTATTTTCTCTTTATTTTTTCATGTAGAATTACCCCCTCTACGATTGTACCATCAGTTACAGAACGCTCTGTACATGAGTAATAGTCTGAGTAGTATATAAGTTTAAAACTGTTTAAAAATTTTAATGAACTACTTTTTCTTCTTAATACATTGTTTCATAATAGAAAGGGAAGCTACTTTAATACTTAAATAATTATTGTTGTAGGACGATTAATTCAAGGTATATCTCAAGCTAAACAAACACTTGCAGCAAAATTAACAGAACCAAATCCTGAAAATCAAGAAGAATTGACACGTCAAATGGAGAGATGTTGCAAATTAGCCACCAGTTAGTACAACTATATTTTTTTTATAGAAATTTTATAAAACGTTACATAGCTCGAATTTATGGATATAATAATTTTCGGATAGTTATGGCAAATATGAGTAATTACATAATTGGTTATTTCATCTTGACATATTTTTAATAGCTTTTTTTTTAATAATTCATAGTATTAAATTTTTTAAACAATTAAAATAGAAAGATTATGAGGATGTACTTTAGTATTTATTTCTTATTTTTGTTACAGAAATACAAATAGCAAATCATACGACCGATTTTGTCAACAAAGTATTGGATAAAGTACGTGCTGGTGTACCTGATGGTGGCATCGACGATTTTTAATATTTCAAAGTTGTTTGCTAAGAATGTTCATATGTGCGCATAAAACATGCGAGAAAGAAACGATGTGTATAAAATGCTAAATTTATAGCAAATCAGGAATTAAATGCTTCTCATGGAGATCAAAACTCAAAGAATAGAAAATAAGAACATGAGTAATTTCATTTTAACAATAGATTATTTTTATCAGCATTTTGCAACATCAATTGCAAATGATTTTAACATACATTTATATTCTAGGTACCAGAATGTTATTTTACAACATTATTTTGTATGTAGTATAATATTATTTTACCAAAAGTATAAGTATATAAGTATATAAAAACATATGATATTATTTTACCAGTTATCAGTTACATATTTTTTTATGTAAAGTTATACATCATTAGTTTTTATTTCATTCACGATCATTTTTTTGATAATTATCTATGATTTTTTGGTGGGATTTATGTGGATTGTGGTAGGAGAATACAAGTTTTCAATTTTCAAATATGTTAAATGTACCATCAATTCTCTCTCGCTAAGGCGCTGCATTCCTATTTTCCACTTCTGCTTCTTCTTCTTACTTTCTTGTATATATCATTTTTGCGCATGCTTTTGTGTATGTTATGTGTGTGCGTGCACATGCGCGCGTGAGAGTGTGCATGTATACATAAGATGAAAAAAACAATGTGCTGAATACCGCAATATTATTCCATATAATAGCATAGAATAAAAAAATTATAAATATAGTATCGGTATAGAGTATAATAACTTAAAGAAAACCTTCTCTGATATTATTAGCAATTTATATTTTTGTTTTCTTTTTTTCGTATTACGATGCGCGAGAAGTATTCACTAATCGTAATCAGTTTTATATAATTATATGTAAAGTTTTTATGTTTAAATCTTAATCATGTTTTAGAAATATGATACGGAACATTTGAAAAATTGTGTATGTCTTAAACTGTATTTCTAACTTATAAACGTAATATATATCTGTCTTTTTTTTTTGCACATATGTAATTTTTAAGTGTTGTATATAACAACATAATGATTATGGGTAAAGTTACTGGTTTTAATAAATTATATGACGTATCAGTATATAATTCTACAATTTTTATATGTTTATATAAACATTTACAGCAATTTTGTTTGGGGTAATATTGCGAATTTAGGCAAATGTTTTTTTTACGTTATAATACATGTGTACACACGCGTTATCTTGTACATAAAACTTTTTTTATGATACATGCGACACTTGTGTTCATAATTAAAGTTAAAACATTGGTACTTCCCATGCAAATGTAAAAAGTACACAAATTTTGTTAATAATTAAAACAACATTTAGAGTATAGGATAAAGTATTACCTGATAAATAGGTTTTTTTTTTGTTTGAAAGACAATCAGTATAAAATTTTAGATTGATACTTGACAAGCTACAATATGGAAGTGATAAAATTCGTTGACAATGTTAATTTTTGAAATGCTACTTAGATTAAGTTATGTGTAAATATATCTTGGAAATTAGTTTTAATTTCACACACTAACAGGTTCACTTTTCTTCTGAGTGTCATACATATTGTAATCTTTTAAATATAAAAAAATAGCATACTGTTTATAAAAAAGGTTCTGTAATACCATACATAACTTCTATAGAATATATTGCTTAATATAATTTTGTTTTGTAACTTTTGATAACTTACATATGTGAATATTATGTAGAATACAGCATACATTATACAATTTTAATGTTCATCATTTGAAATATTGTTTAAATGATTTTATGAGTGAATGAATGTGTGTGTCTCAGCAAGCGCGCACATGTCCATGTACACACAATATATTTGATTTGCTTGGAAACGTTGGAACATTTCATATGCTATTGAAGATACACCAAAATTTTTCTTGTTAATATTGATAAATGTAATGAAGGTTTCAAGGTGAATTTCATTTTTGTAATTTTGAAAAAATATTTATGCTATGATTACATTTCTTGAAATAAGCTGAGTGATATATCACATAAGGATTAATGTTATGAATGATTTTATATGACATATTATTGAACTCATCTCGATGAACGCTATTAATGAACTTACAAAAATTTATTTGTACTATAAAATGCTCCTTTATAAAAGAAAGAATTTTGTAAAAAAACGTTTTTGCGTCTTCAATTGCTTACAAAATTGTTTAGCATTTCCAAATAAATTTCTATGTGTGTGTGTGTGTGTGTGTTTCTATAATTTTATTTGTTAATGCTTAAGATGAATGTTACTATTTGACTACTTTCCCAAAGAGTTATATAAATTGTTTCTTTTTGGTATCAGGAATTCTTTATTATTAATTTATAATTGTAATTCGTAAAATACTGTGTGTAGTTTACACTGAAATTAGTAGAAAGCTGTCTCAAATATATATTTCTAAGATTGTTATATAATTGATTTAATTAATACGTTCTATTCAACTTTGATACGATTATAATTGTTTAAAGCAAATTTCCGAAGAGTAAGTAGTATGTTTTACACATGTATGAATGTATGTACTAAAATTTACTTGTTTAAACGGTGTTTCGTTTAATTACAGTTTAAAATATATCTATTGTTCTTAACACTGTAAATGAATATCCGAAAAAATTAGAAGGAGACAATTTACTTTCATTCACATTTACTTCATTTATATTATTTTATTTAACTAAAAAGTATCACGACACGAAAATAATCGAAGGGAGAGAATATTTGTTTCAAACAAGTAAATATTTTTATAAGCAAAAGTTACTTTTTAAAGTAAGATCTCAGGACTATCTACATTTTTTATATGGTAAAACATACATATAACAAAACAAATTCAATCATGTAAGATATTTATCTTATTCTTTATTATTACATATTTCATGATAGGATGAAGTGCTTTACATAAATATTATTTAGCTTCAAGGGATCCATAATTTGATGTAAATACTTCTTTTGTAATTAGGACAGTATTTAAGATTATTTAATGATCAGTACAATTTATTCAATAGAACATGTTTTTCGCGAACTATATTTCTGTATTAATAAAAGTATGCAGCTCTCTTTTAGACAAAATTTTTGCTTATTAGAATATTTGCACTGTAAAAAAATTTCTCTTTTAATTTATCGTCGCATAAGTGAATAAAATGTAAATGTTCCAGGCATTTGAGTTAGAGAAAATGTTCTGTATATTTTGAAATTTGCGAGAAGGTATTCTTTAAAGTAATGAAAGAAGAAAACAAACCATTATCAGTGAAATCGATCTTATTATTAATTGTGTAGGCTTCTGAAAAGTTGTTCATTTTTTCACTAACAATGACAGTAAAATTACCCTTACTCTTGAAATGTAATGAATAATAGAAATTAAGTGGAAATTGGAATTTGGCGCCTACGAATGCGTTCCTGTGAATATTTTTAGTTCATTTTATCTACCTCAATACAAGCCATTACATCTATGCATAATATCTGAAACAATATAATATTTATTTTTTTACGTAATATATAATACATGGTATTAGTATAAATCAGATAGACAAAGCTAGCTATGCTTTCTTTTAATAAAATATAAAGTTAAAGGAAGGAAATATACTAATAATTCGTTTTATATTATTCTTCTTTACAGTATTGTTTTTCATGTATACTACTAAAATATAATTAAATTTTTTTCATGGAACAATTAGTTCTAGTAACTACTATATCCTTAATTTTAAATATGATAATTTGTAAGAAACAGAGTACAAGTAAATATTTGATATCTCTGCTGTAATGTGTTAGCTCTTAGGGATAGTTGTTTAACATTTGTTTCTAGAAATTCGTGTAGCAACATAAGATTTATAATGTGATTCTTTAATAGAAACGTTTTCCATCATTTTGCACAATTCTGAATTATATTTCTGGTAATTTACAAATTCGAACGCGCAAAAATGATGTCCATTTCTTGGCAGTAAAGTTAATCAACGAATTTCTTGTACGTTGTCATATATTGTAAGCTGCTTGTCCCATATTCGTACAAAATGATTTTAAAAAATCACTTTTTTTCCTATGTTTTTCAAATTATGTAATATCTACCATACGTGTACAAAATTTTATAATAGAATTTAAAATATTAACGACGTTATAGAATTTTAAAGTAAAGGGTCAGCGAGAAAAAATTGTCTGTGTCTTAAAACACATGCGAATGCGTCTTTTTATCTTATGGATAATAATTTTATTATGTGTACTTATTGTCTTGTAGGTAATATTTATATGTATTTGCTAATTTAAAACAACAAACAAGAACAATTGTAGATTTTGTGTGAATCGATATTTTCGAGAAATGATCATTTCATCTTGCAAAACAGGTCACAAAATGCACGTAAAAGCCTGTATAGATTAGGATACAATTGCTGAAAACACTGTATCCTGACAGTGGTATATTGGTACCGTCTCTGTGCGCCGTATCACGCTTAACAGTGTTCGGACATAGATGTGGAATTTTTTTAAAGTTACACCGTTAAATATTAGGAGAAAATTGCAAACAATTTCTCTCCTTTCATCCTTAGCTATCTTAAGGATAGTGTGCACAAAGGCCGAAGAAAATGTTCGATGGACGGATGCGTGATAATTCTGTGGAATCTCCGCGAGGCTTGGACTTTGTCAGCGTAAAGTAACTCATTAAGATTGAGAACCACTTTCAATTTGGCCCTTTGGAGACTCCAGAATTTATGGCATGTCTGGCCCTAACAACTAGGTTTGCAGGCAACACAATAAATAACTATTGTTTATTCGAAACGAAAAATAGTTGCCTGCAACGCGTGACCACTTGAGACGATGACATAAATCTGGCCACAGGATACGCCTTAACCCCCGGTGCAAACGAATGATGCAATCAGGATCAAAATAATTTCTCAGGACCAAAGTAATGTACCATTATGGAGTATTTAAATTAAAAAAAAATTGTAATAGTTTCGAGTAGTGTATAAGTATATAATAGTTTATTAAATAGAATTTAATAAAAATTTATAAACAATCTCTTAGTCACTTTTTTAATTTTCCTTTTAAGAGAGCTTTCTTTTTTTTCTCTAAAGCTTCCATACGCATATCCTCCAAGTCTTCCATAATACCTAAAAATATAATTGTATTCAATTAATATTACAGACAAATATAAGAATGAACAAAATTGCAAAATGTTTTAAAAGATTTATCTACATTACCTATTTTAGTAGATACATATTCTTCTTTGAGCTGCTGTGCAAAGCTACTTTCCATAGCTACATCATCTTCGTTGTCCGCATATTTGTATTTATTCTTATCATAACCAAATATTTCACTTATGTATTTACTGTAGTCTTCAGATTCTTCTCCTACCTCATCATCAATAAAATCATCCAACTCAGAGTCATATTCATCTTCATTTTTGTTTTCATTATGTATGCGACCTGCAAAGCGTATAGCCGAATAAGCATGGTAAAAATGCCCCTAAACCAAATTAAACTTGTGATATATGAATCAATAGGCCTCTGAAAGAAACCCCATCCTGCTAAGTTTCAGCCCCCTACCCCCACTATTAGGGTAGTTATAGACCAAAATATGATTTATAATTTAATCTCGGATTTCTTTTATTCTATCGCATAATAAATTACGAAAAAATCAAAGATACTGTTGACAGTGTGCAGTACATGTCTGGGAATTTTTTCAAATTTTTTGGCTGCAAAACTGAAAGAAGTTTACAATCGATCAACAATTTGAATTGCATGCTCTTTAATAAATAAAGAATAGAAAATACTATATGTAATCCTGCAAAATATGAACTTTAGAAAAATTATGGTTTACCAAAAAAGTATTCCTTTCGTCGGAACAATTGTTTTTTCTAGTTTAATAATAAAATGTATAAAATAATAAAAATACTTACGTTTATGATTAAACAGTAACTTCTTGTGCTCTTTTAAAGATGATATCTGTTTAGTTTTAATCTGTTTAAGATCTGCTGCCGAAAATTGTTTTGGTTTATCGTTCGTCATTTGAGGCACACGACATTTTGTTACGCTTGTTGCTGGTGGCTTTTTTTGTACATTTTGAGGTAATTCTGGTTTCTCGGAAATTTTCACTTTTGATATTAACTTCTCAGATTTTGCGTTCTTCACGTCTTCAATTTTAGTTTTGCTCATTTGCAGTTTTTTTTTCTCTTCTTCAATGGCCTGTCGCATTTCTTCTAATTGTTTCTTCTCCGTTTCTAATTTCTTTCTTTCTTCTAAAAGTATATCTCTCTCGGATGCTTTTGAAATATTACACTTATTTACATTAGACTTGCTGATATTGACTTTTTCAACAGTCTTTGAACCTTGCAATGCTATTACTTTGGAAGGAATTTTATTTGGAGTGGAAGGTATCGTAAGTAATTTTTCTTGTCGTTTTGGTATCTTACTAGTAGAACTCACATTATTACGAACGTCTTGCGTTTTATCTGGCTTGCTAGGTGTAGTTAAATTGCCTTCCTTATTATTCACATTACCGACTTTATTTCGTTGCTCTTTTCGTTCTCGCCATTCTTTCTCCAGCGCGTACTCTTTCATCTGCTTTTTCGTTAACAGCCTTTCAGGCTCATCATTTTTTGGCTTGATGTCAATGACGATTGGTTCGTGTTGTTTCTTTTCTGCAATTTTTAGTAGTTCGGTAAAATCAATCGGTGGTGGCATGGCTCGTTTCTTCGACTTAGGCTTCTCCTCTTTTTCCTTCCCATCATCTTTAATATTCTTTTCAACTTTTTCGTCGACCTCTGTTTCCACTTCTTTCACAGAATGTTTTCTTTTCCGACGGTGACCCAAAGCTTCTTCCACTTCTTGTTGCTTCAGAGCTTGCTTCACCCTGTCCTGAAATCAAAATTAAATGTTGGAAACGATTGCAAGTGTTAAGAAGAAAGACAAATAAATATGAATTCTATTGATAAATATTCAAATTCAATCTCTCATGAAAAATTTACAGGCACTTGTCGATTTGTCGAAGACTACTGTTTGCCTCTAAAGAAATTGTTTCTCATATTTTAACAAGTGCTTGTAAAATTTGTTATTACTGTCTAGAAAATGAATTTTGAATGATGCATGGACATTTTATTTTACGAACATAAAATATAAAATATTGAACAAACTGATGATTTAACTAACTTCATACAATCCTTAGGTCTGCTGAGGTTTCCTTTACAATAACAGTTTACTGTATTTGAGTATTTTGGAAATTAATGTCCTAGGTGCTATTAAATATTTGTCTTGTGCGCCGACCCAGGTAGAAAGACAAGGCGGGCAGATAATCTTTTCATTTTCCTATTCTTTTATCAGCGCGCGACATTACCGACGGCTGGTTGAAAACCACTTATTTATCTACACCAAAACTTCTCAAGCGGAGACAGTCTACGACCGTAGAGTAGTGGGGATGGCGCGCCCGCCTGTTTTCCGCTCATTTGCACAGGTATGCACGTTAGAACCTTCAGGTTTGCTCGGTCGACCTGTACTTTCTTTATTTAATTCATTTTTCATTCGGATTTTTGAAGTAATAAAAAATAAATTATTTTCACTACTATATTTCACTCTTCGTATTTTCACTCCTTTTTTAAAGTGCATTCATGTGATATGCTAGTTTTTGCGTATTTTGTTCATAGCTTTACCTAATATAAATATTTTGCATACATTTATTATAAATATAAATGTATAACAATAAATGTACCACAAAGAAAATATTAGAAGCCTTTGTCCTTCATATTATTATAGTTCATAAAAAAACACAAGTAGGGCTATTCAAATAAATTCTCATACCTTTGTGGATGCAATATCCTTTATTGTTCCCTTTCGACTGTCATTAAGAGTTGTTTTTGGCAAAGGCGTATTGTTGTATTTACTCATCAACTGATTATAAAATGCAGACGCTTCTTGGGATACGTATCCATAGTCATCTTCATCAGGCTGCGAAGGACCTAGAAAAAGACATAGAAAGCTAAATAATCAGATACCAACTTTCAAACACAATTATTTTGCCTGTTATCTTTGTTATCATGGTGTATCTCTCGATACTTTCAAGAGCTCTTCATTGGAACTGACATTGTCTTAATTGTAACAATAACCATTCTTAGCACTAATTATAACTTTAAAATAAATCAATAAATATTTATTTTGGACAAAATACTGCTGTGTTATTTATGTTTAAGTAGCAATGCATTAATTGATATGCCTTTATCAACTTTAGAAAACGTTAATCATCTTTGAAATATATAGCGTGTCTGAGTTAACTGAGAATGGTTAAATATTTCGTCAGCGAGAGAAGATATGGAAATACTGTTCGTACAAAATATTTTCAATACAGAGGGAGACATCATATAGTGTATATAGTTTTTCTGTAAGTGTAATGGTGGGGGTAAATTTCAAGCTTAACTTAATCTTTTTTAAACGGAATGCTACACCTTTTTATTTACAATTTCATAGAGTTTTTTGAAACGAATTTAAAGATATGCAACATGATATACTTCCATCCCGCAGAAGGTCGTTAATTAGCGAAGCCCCAAACTCAGGTGAACGCGATTCTCAACTCTCCGGCTAGCTAAACCCTTCTTGACCGTGCAATTGATGCGAAACAGACCTGCTTGTCCAAGCTATACTTTTGCTTGTCCAACCTGGAGAACCCAAACTGGTGGCGGATTTCTTCCGGAAAACAATTAGGCTTCAAACAGTGGATAGCCGATTACCTTTATTGCATGCGCAAGTGGGATAGGATTGTATTGAACCGTTGTCTTGTTACGATTTTTTTTTCTTTTATACTATTTTTCGTTCCTTTGGCCAATCAATCAATGTGTCCAAATATAGCTCGATAGGTACCTAAACGTACGTTATGTATTCGCTTTACGTTATTTCCCCCAAAATATATATACGTTGCACGATTAATTTTGTCCTCGAGTGCATTTTACCTGATCCAGTTTTAGATGTACGAAAAAGACAAAGACTTATAGAACAATCTAATATTTCATATAAGTCACGAAAACGATTACTAATACGATCAATTCCATAACAAAATAAAATACACATTGATTCTCTCTGCCATAGCGCTTAACATTACGTTTTAATTTCATTGAATTTTGCGTCATTTTTCTCGAATGGTACTATGAATTTCTTACACACAGTATATTTTAAGGGATTCGTCCGTCTCTTAAACTACCGTTCGAGTTTTATATTGTAATTCAAAAATGGAAAGCGTCCCCAAAGTTGTACTTGCATCATCTGAAAGGGTACAATGAAGGGCATAATATTCAACATTAGCAATATTCTTTCCTAGAAGAATATTGATTTCTTTGCATTTTTGAACCAGAGAACTTACTTTCATCTCTTTCTTCTAGTATACGTTACTTTATATTTATAAAGTAATAAGTTAATTAGTTTTAATTTGGTATAATTAGTTAAATTTAATTTTTTACATTTGAGTATAATTTTAATATATTAAATTTGTTTTCTTGGTTTTTTTACTTTTCTTTGTTGTTCTAGCTTTCATTTCGTGCATGCGCGTATATATGCGAATATTGTAATGTACAGTGATTGTTTTTCAAGTTGTGTAATTTATTTGCTACATCACAGTACACAATGGTATATGTATGTATATATTTCGAGAACTTTCCAGCATGCACCTGTATGGTGGTAAAGCAAACAGTACTGATAGAGGTCGGTAATGTCGTTTTCGGCGCCGAATGTCACTGTTTTCTTCTCTACAACTTCTACACAGGTAAGCTGCCGGACATGTATTGGTGGTTTTGAGGAACATTTACCCCCCGTGACTTGACGTACCCTACATTCATTAGTGTAAAGAGATTTGATCGACCGCAAAACGAAACCTAGCACGAAATTTTTTTTAAATTAAAATTCCTCCCAAAAGTTGCCGAACACCTCGTACTTACGAGATCCCGCCCAGTCCTACCTGATTTATTTTAATTCGATCTGAACGCATGATTTCGGATAGCCATACTTTTCTAACAGAAATATCAAAGAAATTTCAAAGTCGTTCATTTGTGTTTTAGTAGAACTGAAATGTTTAATATGTACAAATCTAATCCATATTCAGGCGAATTAAATAAAGATGCTTATGATCACCGCAAGTTAATTACGGTGGTAAAAAAAAAGTAATTGTCATTTTATTATAAAATTGTAATGTTACTCTTATGTATTTTGCATATTTTGATGTTGTAATTGCATAAACATCTACAGTTCAAAACAATTGCAACATCATTTCGGTATTTCGTAACTATTTCAAGAAGCACCTTTTATATAACAGTTATTAACAGCCATTTGTGGAACAGTTTTACTCCCTCGTTATGTCGGTACAAACTTCGTCTAATCAACCGATATTATAGGAGTCGATGGAAGCACACATTCTTTGATGTATTCTTATAAAAAATAGTACTAGAAAAAAATTGGGCTAGAAAAGCATGACCTTATTTTTCTTATACACCTTTCCTTCATTTACAAATATTGATAATTATATGTTTTCTTTTTGAACAAAGATTGATAATGGTTTGGTGAACCCTTAACATCTTCATATACAAAATGTAACTAAAATCAAAAAGTTTGTTCCTTGACACAATTCACATTTATCTAATACCTATTTTTGAATACCACCAATGTTTTTGGTGAAAATATTTATTTATTATGCTCTAAGTGCTTCATTTTGCACAGAAGGAATGTAAAAATGTAGAAATCACAAACATGTATAATTGAGCACAAAATTATAGTAAGACAGAAATATAAAATACTGAAAGAACATAAGACAAAATTTGAGAGATTTTAATAAAAATTTTTTACATGTTGTAAGAAAAAAGCTCCTTGAAAAATATGAAATTAAAAAAGAGCACATTTCTAAAAACAACGTCAACAAGAGTTGAACATATTTCAATTAAACACCTAGCTCATGAAAATTTATTGTATTCCAATTCTTTCTTATTCATGTGTAAATATTTTGATATAAATATGTTTAAAAATGCAGATATCCTTGCTGTGGCCAATTCATCAGTCTACTCTAGTGCAACCTATTAGATTTTTATTATTTTTTATTGTTGTAATGCTCTATTCAAAAACTTTAATATACAAAGTGAATCCCCTAATTTGACAACTTCTAATGATATGTAAACTTTTCATTACAGGAAAAACTATATGAAATAAAAGTTAAACAATTTTCATTCTGCAGTATAGTCCAACAGATTTTAGTACATGCTGCAGTCTAGTATGTTTTTGCATATCCTCAGTTGTTGGTGAGGAGTGATAAACTTCATTATTTGAAGTTCTCCATGTAAAATAAATCAATGACATCAGGTTTACCAAACAAACTATCCTTCAAAAAAAAAAAAAGTTTAAAAGCATTAAATATAGCAAACAAGCTTATAATAAAATTTTCATTGTAAATATCTCATTAAATATCCCTTTTAAACCACCTATGTCTTTATACTTTTTTACTCCATATTTAATGGTACTTTGATTTTTTTTGAAAAAAGTATAGTATTTTCTATCCAAAAAACTTGATATGAACATTAGAATCTGATTACAACTTGAAAAAAGACACTTTTGTATCATATATTTTTTTCATAAAATAAATAGTTTACATGTAATTTGAAATTGTCAAGTTAAGTGTATCATCCTGTATTTTAAATATATGATATGTAAATTAGTAACAGTATAATCAAAATATATAAACTTTTACTTAATAATCTATACTTAATGATTTTGTCACTGCATTGATTGATCAATCATTTTCAAATAATAAATTAGTAATCGTTTTATATGTTAAAAACAAAATTGTTTGAAATATAAGTGCATAAAGTTATCACTCCTTTATATTATTGAAAGACAAAAAATAAATATGAAAAATCTTCAATTACAGATACCTAATGAAAATGTAAATGAACTGTTTTATTTAAGAACATGTATAAAATATTTTTTAAGTAACATGTGTTATCAAATTACTACTACTGTAATAGTATCATATACTATACATTATTAAATGTTGTTTACATCTGTATAATTTTCAAACCAGGAAATAATTCTAGTTATTTTTAACTAAACTAAACAAATTAATCGCCTATTTTAATTCAATTTTATTGGAAATGGATTTTTTTTTACTTCTTTTTGCGTAAATTATACTATTTATTGATAAAGTAAACATAATAAAGTATTTAACACTAGAACATCTAAACCTGTCAAAATGACATTTCAGATTTCTTACTTTAAATTACAGAAATTATTAAGATGATTTTGTTCAAGTGTATGATGACTTTGTTGAAATAAAGAAATAATTGTACATGCCAATTTAGTTTCCATTAATCCAGAAGGGAAAAAAATATACTACATTCAATTTCAGTTGTTCTAGTGTTAAAATAAGAATATTTAGATGTAAGTATTACTTCTCACTTTATGCACTAAATATGCAAAACACTTTATCAATAATATTAATAACAATAATAACAATAGCAACAACACCAATAATAGTAATAATAATAAAGCTGAATAAGGAGAAGAATAATAACAATCAATCAATCAATCTAGAGTCTGCTCCCTAGACTACTCTAGAATTGTATTTCCTCTGACCTGAATTGCTTGGAATCCTCTGCCATGTAAATCCACAAAATCCCACTGCCCTGTTGGACGGTGGAAAAGTAAGAAGGCATTGCGTTGATTGTACACATTCATACTCAATTACCTGTGGGCAAAAACACTGCCCATTATGAATACAAACTGATACTTCTAAATACTCATTAATACGTAGATCATTGATCACACACAGCATTGTATTACTTTTTCTGCAGAAATTACAACCTATATCCACCACCAGTATATTTACAGATTAAACTTATGAAATGTGAATATGTTATGACATGCCTAATACTTTATATTCATAATTACAACAAAAAAGAATATAGAAAATTTAAATTTTGACATGCAATAAATAAATCATTTATACACACTTTATGCACAACATTATTATATTGATATGGATATCACATAAAAATGATACATTATAAATTAAAATATGTACAAATCCTAACTCTTCACTTTTAACCTGTGAAAAAAATAGTTTTACGTTTGATATTAAAATATTTACTTTTATTTAATTTTATTCTAAAAATACTCCTCTCCAACATATTAGACATACATATTATTTTACTTATATAATAGTATTTCATACCTGCCATTGTAACAGCTGTGTTCTCATTATCAATTGCATCTGGCAATACAGATTTATTAGCAGCTTTACATACTTTCAAATGTTTGTTTATTCGACTGTTGGCTTTATGATCACGTAGTGATAATAAATTCTAAATATAAAAAAATTATGATAATAAAAAGTTACATATCCATACATTGAACATTTAGAAACAAATTGTATTTAAGTAAAAGCACAGCACCTCTCGTTTCTTTTTCTTTTCCAGGGCTTTCTGTTTTTCTTCCTCTTCCTTACGAGCCAGAAACTTCTTTATATTTTGAGAAAGTGCTTTGGCTTGCTTAGTTGGCTTTTTGGGTGGAGTAAATTTTGTTTGATAGCAGGCAATAGACTATAAAAAGTAAAACATAATTATGTGAAAATAATTTTCTTGAGATATAAAAACGTTAAAGGGAAAATATAGTAACCTGTTTGCTATTTTCATTTTTTTGTGCCACACTCAATAAAGTACCAAAATCCATTGTAATGAAAAGGTGAGATATACACTAAATGTAAATATCACAATATATCTTTTAAATTCACATGTAAAGTTTACATTTCGTTATCCAATCGGAACAATTTTAATGTACTGCTCGATCTTTAATCACCTTCTATCGAACACTTAATTAAAATAGACAAATTATTAATATAAATACTTTTAAACGTTATTAGAAACGCAAGTCTTCGAATAAAGAAGACAAATTAGAAATGATCTAAATGCTTGTACAATGAGTCTCATTGATCTTTGCCGAATATCTAGAACTAATACAAACGCACAACAGCGGTGTGCTATGTGAAATGGCATCGTACAACATACGCCATCGTACGCATTGTACACCATTTCACATAAAACTACCGCCACTATGCATTTGTGTTAGTTCTAGGGATTCGGCAAAGATCGATGAGACTCAGTATACAGTTCACATATAACATTATACTAGTTTTTCCCAGTAGATGGTAAATAAGTACTTATCTAGTATTGTTTTAGCGACAGTCATTTTGAATATCATTTCAGCTGTCATTTTACGCGCCAATTTTGAGATTAGCGAAACCAGATGGTTATAAAGAAACAAATTTTATCTTCATAGTGAATTTATTCTTTGTTTTTAAAAAGGTATTTTATTTAATTGATTTTAAATTTGGTATTCTATTCAAGACTGAAG